CGCTGCTTGTTCTGCCTTTCGCCCAGAAGGAGACTTTGGGGGAGGGAGAAGATGGAGGGAAAAGGGTGGGTTTCAAGTGGGGGGCAGCTGGGTCTGGAGACCCTCAAGGTCTGATTTGGGGGTAGAATGGTGGGGGCCTGAGGAGCTTCATGGGGGGAAATGTATTTCTTTATTATTTATCCCTTTTCTTGCTGCCACCGACCTGTGTCAAAGTCCCTGCAGGGAGGGGTCTCTGTCTCTCCTGAGCATTCCCCAAACCATCTTCCTCTCCCTCTTTCAGGCCTTCACACCTGGCAGTGGATGTACGGCTGTGAGCTCCGGGGAAATCAGAGCAAAGGAGGGTTTATGCGCTTTGGCTATGACGGGAGGACTTTCATCACTTTCGACAAGAAGACCCTCACCTGGGTGGCTCCTGACTCCCAGGCCCAGATCACCCAGAGGAAGTGGGACGCTGATTCAGGCTTCAATCAGGGAACGAAGGCCTACTTGGAGGAGGAATGCATTGAGTGGCTGAAGAGGTACCTGTCCTTCAGGAAGGAGACGCTGCTGAGGACAGGTGAGCATCTGGGCCCAGGCTGGGCTTTCCTCCTTTATGGCTGGACTTCTTGCACACATTCGGCCCCCTTTGGGTCCCTGGTCTGCAGCCTGGATGCCCGGGGGGGACCCCCCCTCCCCCCCTTCCTGCCTCTCCAGGACGCGGGAAGCCCTGCTTAGTTCCCATTGCCAGGCAGCCATTACGTTGTGCAGGAACCGCAGCCTCTGCCCTCCCAAGCCATAGGTGTGGCTGGCCAGAATTAAGGGCCTGGCGGGTGTCTGTGTGGGTCAGGCAGCAAAAGCACTTGGGGTGTCCTGTGCACAGCCCACGAGGAGGCAACAGGGCCACTTGGGGTTCTTCAGTGAAGCCACCATTAGCCAAAACATGGCCAAGTGTGATGCGTGGCCTTGACTTCCTCCCAGCAACTGTCCTTCCCTCCCCATCCCACAGGGGGCTCCCTCCCTTCCTCCCTTGCACCCCCCACCCCTGGCTCTCCCCCTCTGGAGGTTTTGGTGTCCCTTGAAAGGGGCCTGGAGCAGCCCAAGATTTGGGGGAGCGGAAAGGACCCAAAAAGTAGGGAGAAACTTCTGTGTTGTTCTTTTGAAAGGGAACTTAAAAGAGCAGCTCTGGTACCCTCCCCTGAAGGGAGCAGCCCAAGATTTGGGGGAGCGGAAAGGACCCAAAAAGTAGGGAGAAACTTCTGTGTTGTTCTTTTGAAAGGGAACTTAAAAGAGCAGCTCTGGTACCCTCCCCTGAAGGGAGCAGCCCAAGATCAGTCAGAGTTCAAACCAGGTCATGTGGAATTTCCTTGGACCCTCAATTTGCTGGCAGAGATTTTTCAGACTGAGTCACTGGGAAGGACTCAAAATCAGGAGTCCTTGTGGCTGAGCCTTTTCCACATTTGGAGCATTTCCCAAAACTGTTGGAGACGCTGCAGGTGCGGAGTGCTAAATCCCTGCATTAAAACTAAGTAGGGGGAGCATTTCCTGCCTGTCAAGTTTCTCGTCCCCCTTCCGGGCTCTGGAGGGGCTCAGAGTTAATGCCGGAGGTGCTGTTTCTGCAGAGGCCCCAGTGGTGACGGTGAGCAGCAAGACGGAGGCCGACGATGGGATGGAAACTCACGTCTGCCGCGTGGATGGCTTCTACCCCAAGGAGATCGACGCCGCCTGGAGGAGGGACGGGGAGGTCTGGCGGCAGGACACCTTTCGTGGGTTTGTGGCCCCCAATGCAGATGGGACCTACCACTACTGGCTCAGCATCCGGATTGATCCCCAAGAGAGGGACCGCTATCGGTGCCACGTGGAGCATGACAGCCTGTGGAAGCCTGTGGACAAAGCCTTGAAGGGTGAGAGGCTGCAGGGAGG